ACATTAATAAGAACATATCTCAATACGTTGTGCAAAATTTTGTATCAGTCGGACAAAACTTGGGAGTTTTATGGACCATTTACCAAAAAATCGGTATAGGGGAGATATATCCAAATCTGAAAAAACAGGACCTTAGTAGTAGGCTGTGCAAAATGTTGCCCCAATCTGAAAAATATTTGAAGTTTGTTCCACAACTACATATAATCGGATAAACTATATATGTGAGAAATATATATAAAACTTAACCGATTTCATGAAAACTTCATGCACATCAAACTTGACATAATTTAGTACGCTTTGCAAATTTTGTCTCAATCGGAAAAATATTGTAATTTTGGTGCACCATTCACATAAAATGGGACGAAACTATATATGGTAGCTGTATCTAAATCGGAACTGATTTCAACCAAAATTCATGTACATCAAACTGGACATTATTCAGTAAGCTGTGCAAAATTGTTTCTCAGTCAGACAAAAATTACGATTTTATTGCACAAGTTACCTAAAATCGAAGGAAACTATATATGGGAGCTATATTTAAATAAGAACCGATTTCCACAAGACTCCGCACACATCAAATTGGACTTAATCTAGTACGCTGTTCATAATATTTCTCAATTGGACAAAAATTGCGAGTTTGGTGCACAATTTACCTAAAATCGGACTGAACCGATTTTCTTCAATTTCAATAGGGTTCGTCCTTGGGCCAAACAAATGGGCTGAGCCAAATTTCATCAAAATAGGATCATACTCACAAAAATACATGGACGGACAGACGGATATGCATAAATCGACTCAAAAAGTGATTCTATGCATATTCTCAAAAGGAACCAGGGGTCTATCTCGTTTCCTTTTGCCTGTTACAAACATATGCACAAAGACATAATACCCTGTACCACAGAGTGGTGAAGGGTATACAAATATCTATATCGCTAAACTGAAAAACTACTGCAGCGATTTGGACCAAATTGTATGTACATGCTCTATGTGGCGTGAGGAGTGTTTCTGTGTAGTTTGTAGTTCGTCCGACAGATGACGCAATATTTATTTTATTGGTGTTTTGCACCGTAAGTCAAGAACTACTGCACCGATTTTGACCAAATTGTATGTATTTGCTCTATGAGGCGTGAGGAGTGTTTCTGTTTAATTTTAATTTTGTCCGACAGATGGCGCAATATATAGCTTCTTTGTGTTTTCCCCGATTGGAGATTGGGTGCTTAATCGGCGTGTGTCGACGTTAAGTATTCCGACACCGACTCATACATTTTTCTGAAACGAACGTGGGAGTCAAACGAAAAAATAATAACATATCAAATTGAAGTAAAATCAATTTAAATCTATTAAAAAAAAACTATGAAAAATGTATAGTAACTCATCAATTGAGAACTGCAGGACCGATTTGACTCAAAATTCCTTTCAGTTGTCTGTAATTGAAGTGGGAAGGTTTTGAGAAAAATCCGCGAAAATCGTGAAAACCATATTTTGAAGCAAAGGCTGGACCGATTTGCCTACCATTATGTGGGGCATATACCATAAAGTGATACTATACCGACAATTTATGGAAAAGTTCCTTAACCTACATTATATAGCGAATTGAAGGCAATTTTTAGGGTATTTGTGTTTTTTTCAATGTACCTAAAATCGTACTATAAAAATATGAACCAAAGATACGGAGGCACAAACGCACAATAATGGCGAGCCAATTTTGTTAAGTTATAAAACTACGACATGACATATATCCAAGAATATATCTGAATCATTGGCTGAAACCTGAACGTATTCTATATAGACAGCAAAACCTGTTATATTTGTGAAAAGATGTCAATACATATACACACGTTGTTATGTTTAGGATATACCAAAATGTCAATGGAAAATATTAAATATTCGCTCCATAAGATTACAACAATTTTGGTAATTCAAAGGAATTGTATGTGATCAAAATAGGAATTACGCGATCAGTATTAAATTATCTTGTGAGATAGTTGGACCAATTGATAAACTGAAATACCCACATACTGACATAATTTAATATTGAGCAATAACAATATTACCTAATATAACGGGATATCAGTAAAATACCTACCTACCTATCAACCAACCCACCCTGTTAAGGCAAAACAACGTTTGCCGGGTCTGCTTGTATCATATAAATAACAATTTATTTGTTGATTTAGTTCATTTTCTGAATTATGGACTTATTTTATTTTGGGGAGTTCCTTCATTTCGGTGGGGAGTTATTTCATATTGTTTTTTAGAGATTTATTTCAAAATGAAATAAAGCCCCAAATTTGGGGACTTATTTCATACCGCCTCGATTACTCATTCGATTCGGCCTTATACACTTAGATGCATGACTTTTCAACACCACGATAGTATTTATTCAAAATTTATTAACATAAATCGACACTGTTTTTATACCCTTAACCACACTGTGGTACAGGGTATTATGTCTTTGTGCATATGTCTGTAACAAGCAAAAGAAAACGGGAAAGACACATGGTTCCTTTTGAGAATATGCATAGGATCACTTTCTAAGTCGATTTATGCATGTCCTTATATGTATATATATACGTACAAAATTGAGCATTTTGAAATTTTTTATATTTGCTTTAAATCGATTTACATAATTTTGTCCCATTGTAACAAACGAATGACATGTCTATTGATTTAAGTTGGTTCACATTTAGATAAAGGTCACATATTTTAGTTCATCCAATTTCGTGTTAAAGTCACTTCTGTTAGGATGCATTCGTTTAATATACCCATAGTGGTGAAGGGTATCATATAGTCGTCCGATTTTCTACTTTCCTTACTGGTTTTCGATTGTCAAACTTTTTACCCACTGTATATTCTTAAATTTATCCTTGGTCTTTAATACTTTAATAAATCGCACTTCGTCTACTTGTCTTTGTTTAAGGAATTATGGTTATTTATTCTTCTTGTTGTTGGTTTGTAAATTCGACATTCATTCCCATTACTTTCCCCATCAACCAACAATTTTTATCTTCGTCAATCAAACAATCGCCTGCTAAATGAAATCCTTATGTTTGGCATCCGAATGGATAGAGGCATTTATGACCGTCGGTCCGCACTTCATTGCTTTAATATTTCATAAACATTTATTTTCATCTACGGTTGAATGTTAAATTGAGTTTTTATGGAAAAAATAGACAACGACACTAAATATATCAGCAATGAAAATCACTTAATTAATATATATTCGTATTCATGGACGGCTGTGGTAAATAAAATACCAGTGGTTGCTTTAAGTTTAGGTTTAATAAATTATCTCACAAGGAAGTTCATTAAAATCGAAGTCAGATTATCATTTACCTTAGGGTGTTTTTGAATATAATATTTTAAATACCTTAAATATGCCTTAACAATTTGTCATTTACAGGATTTACAATGAGGAAATGACCTCGAGTGTACAAAATTTTATATGAACTATGGAACTTTATTTAACATGCTTCGGAATGTCCAATTTGGGCAAATATGCACCGTTTTGGTGTATGATTTGTTGACATTTTAAATTTAACTTCATAATGCCTCCCAAAGAAGTCGCTCTTTATTTGCAAAAAAAAACTCTAGTAGTAGATTTTCACAATCCTCCCTAGATATAATTTTTTTGTCATTAAAGAAATTTTGCAGTATGCTTTACTTCCCCTCAAGGCGATGACTTCCCTTTCACTCAATAAAATTGTCTCAATGGCCACTTTCATTTTATACTTTAGTTCTTTCGATATATCTGAAGCATGTTTGCCCGTAACATGTCTATACGTTTTGAAACATCTTTCATTCCGGATATAAAGTCCTAAATCCTCATCATCGGATATTTGTGATATTCCTTTTTTCGTGGGCTGTGAAGCATTCAATAGCATTCTTCCAATTTGTAAAAGGGTGGGACAGATGTCATTTTGGAACATGGTGGTTGCCCTTTCCGCACCATCCTTTATTTTAAAATAAGATGGCGACTTTACAAAAATCACATTTGCTAAATTGGACTATGCGATAAAAGAAAGCCGGAGGCCAGGTATAATCAAAATGAAAAGCAACTCAATTCAAATACTTTTGCACGTATAAGAAAAAATTATAATATAAAACGATTTTTAATATGAATACCCTTGAATAACTATTTGTCATCTGCAGGTACAATGAGGAAATGGACCTCGAATGCAGAAAAATTATAACTAGGCCTGTTCTGATCAAGTGCTTTGGAAAATATTTTAGACATTGAGGACAAGAATAATACAAATCCATCAGGTATCTGATGAAATGCTGAGGGCGATTGTGGCCAATATTATAATACAAAAGATTTGGAGGGACGGAATTGTCTCAGTTTTCCAATTCAGGCATGATTCCAATTCAAACCCAATTAGAAACCCAATTAGATTACGTATCTGGCTCTGGTATGAACTAGGATTATTGAAGCTGCAATTCGGGCTGTTGTGACTAAGTTTTGTTATTAAACGCCATAAAAATATTTTGTTAAGGAGCTGTGATAAAGCTCTGTCGATACAGAAAATCACTATAATGTAATATTGAGTCATTTATTCGTGAAATGGACCATTTGAGGGGACAGTCAGGTGAACATTTGAATGAAATAATGGTCAAACATTAAATTATACATGTATTTTTCTAAAATTTTATTATTTTGAAAACTTTTATTAGACAATAAAAAACTTGTGCGTATAAGTGTTCTTCACACGTTACGCCACCAATAAAAATATTGCCATCCTAAAATATGTAATATATTTTATTTAGTGGCAACATGTAACATAAAACTAATCCGAAAAAAGTTCTTTTACAACTTTATAAAACGGAAACTTTTGAAAAAGTTATACTATTTAATTAATAATTGAAAAAAAAAATCATAGCATATTGGTTTTACGAAATACACCGAAATGTGATGAGGTTACATGAGAATTAAAAGTTTCCAACAAACAGTATTATAGTTATCAAACACCCGAAACATACCACCTTACTTTTCCAACGACATGAAATTACTACGGAAATTAAAGAAAAATAAAAACGTCATTGAAAGTATTGAGGATGTCGAAATGGTGTGGTTTAATGTGAAAATATTAAAATTTTGGGCCGTTCTTATTGATGACAACTGGCGTCAATACTTCTCGTATATACCCTTATTCTTCTTAATTTTATTGCAATTGCTGGATTTACATTATACCGAAAAACCGATCGCCGATAAGATTCATGACACGTATATGACAATGTTAATGTTCAATACTTTCCTGCGGACAAAAATAATGGTTACAAAACGTCATAAATTTACTCAAATACTGGAATATATAAAGGACGTTTATACGGAATTGATGATGAGAGATGATTTGGAAATACGGCGTATCCTGAAGGAGCATACTGAATTGGTTTTGAAGGTTTCAAAAATATATCTTATAGTTGGTATATTGACTGGTGTGGGATTTTCAGTGTTTCCTATTATGTCCGACAAGAGAGGTGCGTCTTTAATAGAACTTAGTTTCTCTTGGACTTCCTTTACATTCCGTTCCTTTCTAGAATTTATTTTTGGCGTCTACGTTCCATATCTGGATGAATATCAAAGCCCTTGTTATGAAATATTACTGACGATCCAATGCGCCTTAAATCTCTATGCTTTGTGTACGTTTATACCCTTTACTGGGATGTTTGTATCGTTTATAATTTTCGCCATTGCCATATCGAAAATATTACAATATAAATTGAGTACAATATCCCAAGAGATTTCGTCGCAATTAGTACAAAAGAAAATTATTAAGTGTATAAATTTACACCTGAAACTAATAAGGTTGGTAAAACATTTGAAAACCCGATTTAAAATTAATCTAATTTAATTAATTTTTATTTCATAGGTTTGTCAATAATATAAACGAGCGAAATTTTACAATATCGTTGGTGGATTTAATATTATTTGTTGTCGTATTATGTATCATGCTGCTATCATTGATATTGGTAAGCTTTCATTGGAAAATAATTAAAAACAAATGAATATTATTTTTTTTTTCATCCCAGGTCAATACGGTGCTACAAAAATGCATTATAATAATTTATATTATTACTATATTTTCGCAACCATTTATTTTACATTATTTTTCGAATGAAGTGTATTATGAAAGTTTGGAAATATCAACGGCTGCTTATAATGTTAATTGGTACAATTTCGATATTGAAACTCAAAAGATGTTGAAGATTTTTCTCCTTAGATCTCAGAAGCCATGTGCAGTAAGTTTTGTTAATTTAAAGTTATTCTCACAGATTTAGCTAATTTTTTAATTGGAAATTTCAGATATTAATTATGAAAACCTATGTTATTAATTTGGGAACATTACAGTCATTGCTGAAATTTGCCTATAGTATATTTACTCTATTAGAACAATTTTATGGATAATAAAGAACAATGTCATATCAAAACTTCCATTATTACAATTATTAAATACACAGTTTCCATTCTCACAGCTTCCGAAGCTACAATTTCGTTCGTAGCAATTTAGCTGTTGGTACAAATATAGAAACCAGGTAAGGAATTCAATTTTATATCTTGCATTAATTCAAATATGATGAGTAGCACACAAGAGAGCTACATCTTAATCCAATTTGAAACAAACTGGATAAATATGCAAAATTTAAATGTAAAAAATTACATTTACATCCATTAACCAAAACAATTTCAACAAGTGAAAAAGCGTTAAGTTCGGCTGGGCCTAACTTTGGATACCCTCCACCATAGATATACTGACAGGTACTTGAAATAAAAATATAAGGAGCATTCCAAAAAGTGTACCTATACCGACATTTCTACAAACCGATTATGGTTCTAAATATTGGTGCTAGGCCCCATGTTTCTTTGAACCAAATTTGTATCAAAATTTTTTGATTTCATCTAAACTTTGCCCATCTTATTATTCTTCCAAAATTATTTCAAGTTCGAACAAGGAGAATATCGATATTCGGTTGAAAAACGCTCTCACGAACCCCAAAATACCGAAAATTGGGGGTACCCTTCTATTGGAGCTATTCCTAAACGTGGACCGATATATCCCATCTTCGAACTTGACCTGCCTGCAGACAAAAGACAAACCTCTGCAAAATTTCAGCACCCCATCTCAATTCCTTCAGAAGATAGCGTGATTACAACAGACGGACGGACATGGCTAGATCGCCATAGAATTTTACGCTGATTAAGAATATATATACTTTATTTCGCTGAGTTACAAACGGAAAAAAACGAAATTAATATACCCCCCATACTATGGTGGAGGGCATAAAAATGAATATTTAACATTTGTATGGTTCAGTGCCTTTCACTCACAAAAATTCCGAAAAACATCCTCCTTCATTTCATTTTCAAACCATAAGCGACAATGCGAGTGCTTGAATGGAAGCCTTCTTTAGCAACATTGATTGCCGTTTTTTTTTTTCAGAAAAAAAAAAAAACGAAAAGAAAATATTCTTTGTCAACTACAATAAAAACTTCAGGCAATATTTTCTAAAATGAGTACCAATAGTAATACAATGAAGGATAGGGATAGATAATTGGGAAATATTGTTGTATGAAAACAACAAATAAATCACAGAAACACTACATTCATGTTCATCTGATGCTGTTGAGGTATATACAGCAGCTAACTGCATAAGATTAGTGCTTCGATAAGCAAAACAATCTCTATTGATTGTTTTGCAAATCAGTAGAAAATTAAAAGCATGTGAACGCGTCGATGTTTTTGAGGAAGTTCTTAAGGTTTTTAAGAACATCTTTAAATGTGAATACATGCAATTTGCAAATAAGCGGAGGTTTTTACAGATAATTATGTTGATGGTTCTATCCTCATTTTCCATGCGATATGTGTATACGGAGGTATTTCGTGTCTTCAGAAGTGAAAATAAAGCTTGCCAGAAAATGTTTAATATTAGCAATATTTTGTTATAGACACCATATAAAATCAGAAATTTACACAGATGTTTTTTATTCACTGAAAGGTTTGGTAAAAATTCCTATATCTAAATATCTTGCGATATTTATAATTTTTGGTAAAAGATTTGGTACCCAATGAGAACTCAAAATATCAACATATAAGTAATTCAGTCCAAACATTTATCCAAATACCCAAAGATGGGTTGACGACAAGACAAGTGAGAGTTGTACCCTCTCCAAAGATAAAAAATAAAATTTAATTGCCAAAAAATAATTCCACCATATATTGTGCCATTGTCAAAACTGATTTATTTGGTTTGTTGAAAAATAAACTTTTTGTGTGAATATAATCTTGATGTGAACTTGAATTTAATTGAATTCCATCTGGAGCCAACTACCAATACTCCATGAGCCAATTACAAATAATTCATTGTAAACTTTCCACAAAAAGTTTGTTTTGTCTAGTTTTCAACGCTTGCCAAATCGTAATTTTTTAACAAACTAAAAAAAAAGAAATCTTTCTGTTATTTAATGGGGTTGAAACTGATTTTTTAATTTTTTTCATTGCCTGAATTTTTAGAATATTTTAGCCATTGCGGGATATCTAGATTCAGACATAGGTTTGCTGGTATGCTTGTGGTATGCTTGTGGTATGCAGACATTTTTTATTTACTTTTGTTGATAATTTCTCTCTGCACACAACTCCTTAAACTCGTCCAGACTATTAAAATTACACCGACAGTACTCGAAATGCATGGTTATTGTTTATTTAGTTGCTTTAGAAGAATAGTTAAGGGAAAATGTTCTGCAATTAAAAAAATTCGAATTTAATATATATATATATATATATATATATAGGTGGCTAATAATTCATAGAAGAACTTGATAGTATTCTAATAATGATGGACGGCCCAGTTTTGGTCGAATCTGAAAAATACTGTATGTAGTTGTAGCTGTACCAATACGAAGATCATTAAAATCCCAACGATCCTTTGCGATCCACGTGAACCTCTGCGTTGACTCACTTACTAACTAACTCTTGTCGAGCTAACATCTACGTGTTAGCACTAACAGGCCTCTGATGCCACCACACCAAACTACAAAAGGTAATTTATTTGTTGTTGAATAAGGAAAAGAGTCACCAATAAAACCATCGAATTGAATATTATATTAATCACTTGCGTTTTATTTCTTGTAATTTCTTCTCTTTTCTATATTTGTACCAACACACGCGTACCACCACATTCAC